AGTAATAAAGGTTTGTCCAAGATTATTGGCATGGGTGATGTTTGCTTGGAAACAAATTTGGGCTGCAAGTTGTTGCTTAAAGATGTGAGGCATGTTCCCGACAGTGGCCCCAATTTGATCTCTACCAGGAAGCTAGATGATGAAGGCTACAACAACAAATTTGATGATGGAATATGGAAGCTCACAAAGGGTTCTTTGGTGGTGGCTAAGTGCAAGGAAAAATTTGTAAAGGTGTTGTCAATGCACTTGAAGATGATACTTTTACCGAATTATGGCACGAGCGGCTTGGCTATATGAGTGAAAAGGAGCTACAAGTTTTGTTCAAGAAAGAGCTTCTACCCGGTTTGAAAGGTACACATCTTAAAACTTGTGTTCATTGTTTGGCGGGTAAACAACATAGAGTTTCTTTTCATAAAAATGTTACTTCTAAAAAAGAAAATATTTTGGAGTTGATTCATTCGGATGATTGTGGTCCTTTGAAAGTTAGAACACATAGTGGTGTACTTTATTTTGTTACTTTCATTGATGATTATTCAAGGAAAGTTTAGACTTTTATACTAAAAATTAAAGATCAAGTTCTAGAAGTATTTAAGCATTTTCAGGCCATGGTTGAAAGAGCAACATGACAGAAATTGAAGTGCATCCGATCAGACAATGATGGTGAATACATTGGGCCATTTGGTGAGTATTATCGTAGCCAAGGTATTCGGCACCAAAAGATAGTTAAGAAGACTCCTCAACAAAATGGCGTTGTTGAGAGGATGAACAGCACCATTATGAAAAGAACAAAGTGTCTGTTTTCACATGCTAAATTACCAAGATCCTTTTGGGGTGAGACATTGAGGACAGCGGTTGACGTGATCAATTTGTCTCCTTCTTATCCTTTGAATGGTGATGTTCCAAAAAGAGTTTAGACCGGCAAAGATGTGTCTTATGAGCAGTTGAGAGTGTTTGGTTGCCAAGCTTTTGTTCACATTCCAAAGGATGAGAGGTTCAAGCTTGATAGTAAGTCAAAACAATGTATTTTTCTTGGCTATGGGCGTGATGAATTCGAGTATAGATTGTGGGATCCGATCGACAAGAAAGTCATTCGAAGCCGTGATGTTGTGTTTCTTGAAGACCAAACAATTGAAGACTTTGGTAAAGGTGATCAACTAGAGCCAAAAAGTAGTTATCTCATTGACATGGATCCATCTCCTTCATCTTCAGTTGATGATGAAAATGGGGGAGATGTGCAGCCATCTATTGAAGATGTGGAGGATGATACTAACCCTAATGAACTTGAGCTAGAAATTGAGGAAGAGCTTCCAACTCTAGAATCGTCACCACAACTTGAGTTGACGAAATCTACAAGGGACCGATAACCTTCGAGAAAGCATCCTCCCAATGAATTTGTGTTGATTTCCGATCAAGGGGAGCTTGAGAACTACCAAGAAGCAATTGAGCATGCAAAGAAAGATGACTGGAAAAAGGCTATGAAAGAGGAGATGAATTCCTTACTTGAAAATCACACTTATGATTTAGTAAAGTTGCCTAAAGGGAGGAAAATTCTGAAAAATAAGTGGGTTTTCAAATTAAAAAATGATGGCAAGAATTTGAGATACAAAGCACGTCTTGTTGTGAAAGGCTTTGGGTAAAAGAAAAATATTGACTTTGATGAGATTTTCTCACTAGTTGTGAAAGATGTCTTCTATTCGGGTTGTACTTGGCATGGCTGCAACTATGAACCTTGAAGTTGAACAACTTGATGTGAAGACCGCATTTCTTCATGGTGACCTTGAAGAATAAATTTACATGGAGCAACTAGAAGGTTTTGTAGAGAAATGGAAAGAGAAATTTGTTTGCAAATTGAAAAAAAGTTTGTATGGCCTCAAGCAAGCCCCGCAGCAATGGTACAAAAAATTTGACTATTTCATGATAAATAATGGTTTTTTCTAAAACCACTTCGGACCATTGTGTGTTTGTGAAAAAAGTTTCGGATGACAAATTTATTATTCTTTTGCTTTATGTTGATGACATATTAATTGTGGGTCAAGTTTCTACCATGATTAACAGGTTGAAATTGGAGTTGAGCAAGTCTTTTACTATGAAAGATTTTGGATCGGCAAAGCAAATACTTGGTATGAAAATTGTTTGTGATCGCAAAGAGGGACTGATTTGGTTTTCTCAAGAAAGCCACATTGAAAAAGTTCTTGAGAGGTTCAACATGGATAAAGCAAAGTCGGTTTCTTGTCCACTTGCGGGTCACTTCAAGCTTAGTTCGAATCAATATCCTACAAGTGACAAAGACAAGGAAGAGATGCTGAAAATTCCTTATGCTTCAGCAGTTGGTTCTTTGATGTACGCCATGATTTGTACAAGGCTGGATATTGCTCAAGCCGTTGGTGTGGTAAGTCGGTTTCTCTCTAATTCGAGTAAAGAACATTGGGCAGCGGTAAAATGGATTCTAAGGTATCTTCGAGGGACTTCGAAGGTGTGTTTGTGTTTTGGGGATGGTAAGCCGATGCTTGATGGGTTCACGGATTCTGACATGATTGGTAATGTTGATTCTAGGAAATCTACTTCAGGATATTTGATAACTTTTGCAGGGGGAGCTGTGACATGGCAATCCAAATTACAAAAATGTGTTGCTCTCTCAACTACCGAATCTGAATTTATTACCATTACGGAAGCTTGGAAAGAAGAGTTATGGTTGAAGAAATTTTTGCAAGAATTGGGTTTGAATCAAGAAAGGTATGTGCTTTATTGTGATAGTCAAAGTGCTATCCATTTGAGTAAAAATTTCACTTTGCATTCGAAATCGAAACACATTGATGTGAGATGCCATTGGATTCGTGATATGTTAGATTCGAAATTATTACAACTCAAAAAGGTTCACACAGATGATAATATTTCAGATATGTTGACTAAGACTTTGTCGAGGGACAAACATTTAAAGTGTCAAACTTTGGCGGGTATGATTGATGTCTCCACCTAAGTTGGTAGGGGAAAATTGTTGGGTATATCTCCTTATTTGGAGTGTGGGACCCAATTGGTTTTTTAAAAGAGTTTAGTTTGGTTTGGTTTGGTGTTAGTTATAATATATTTTAATATATTATATCTAACTTTTAGAGGCCTAATTCAGTTTGATAACAATTAGGATTTTGATAACATAACCCAAGAATCAATAATATATATATATATATATTTGGTATTGTTTTTCCAAAGGAGAGGTGCTGTGCGGCTGTTACAATATTGGAAAACCAATTCGGTGGAATTAAATTTGAGTTAGTGTGCTTCGGTTTCGGCTTCATAGTTGGATGATTTGGTGAAGTTAATTTGGGTCTTTTACAACTTTGTTTTGAAGACTTTTGTTCATCTATTTGGTGATGTTTTTCCTCTTGTTTATTTGTGATTATTTGAAATTTACCTTAGGGTGGTTTGTGAGACCATTCGTGTCTCGTTTGTAATCGTTTGAAAACTTTACGGTTGATAGTGGAATCAGATTTCGATTCCGTGAACATACCTCACATTGAGAGAACCACGTAAAATTCTTGTGTTGCTATTGATTTAATTTTTTCGCATTAGTTTTTATTCCTATTGATTGATTTACTTGTGGGGCATCATCTATAACACTTTATTCATAAACTATAGATCTTTGTATGCGCATCATATGTGCACCCACACCAGTATCATTATAAAATACAGTTTGGTCCATTGATCTCTACAAGCTTGTCTACTATAGAAAATAAAGTCAAGCTATAGTGAAAGGAAAAGAAACTAAACTTGTCCAAAGCTTAAAATGCAACTAAACATGGCTAGCAAGCTCAACTGCATCTCTAGTGGATTCACCATCTTCCTTCCTATGTATCTCAACCGGCTTGAAAGTATAAAATTTCGCGCAAAACACGTAGTACACAAGGTTAATAATTTGGATTCAAGTGCTTGTATAAATTGAAAGCTTTAAAAGCCACATTAAAGCAGTGGAATAATGAGGTCTTTGGGCATGTTGATTTCAAGCTAAAACAAGTTGAAGAGGAATTACATAACCTGGACTTAATGGCTGAAGAAGGGTCATTATCACCATCACAGGCTGCTAGAAGAAGGGAGGCTAAAGGGGAAGCATGGCAACTAAGTAAAATGGTGGAGTGGGTGTGGATGCAGAAATCAAGGCTGAATTGGGCAATTAAAGGTGATAGAAATACAAAATTTTTCCACATTATGGCTTGTAGTAGGAAGCATAGGAATGCCTTATGTTCTATTGTGATTAATGATTCTGCGGTGGAGAATCCTCAAGATGTTAGGGCCGAAGTGAAAAATTACTTTATTAACCACTTCTCAGATTCTTGGCCTAACAGACCAGGGCTGCTAGGTCCTTTTAACACCATTGGAGAAGATCAAAGCTCTGAATTTTTGGAATCAGTCTTTTCAGAATCTGAAGTGAAGGCAGCAATTAGGAATTGTGGGGGCAATAAGGCGCCTGGCCCAGATGGATTTAATTTTAACATGTTCCAAAAATGTTGGAATATTATTAAGGGTGATGTACTCCAATTTATGTCTGAATTTCACCAGAATGGGAAGTTGGTTCGCGGTATTAACAGCTCTTTTATAGCTTTGATTCCAAAAAATGATAATCCCTCTAGCCTTGCAGAGTATAGGCCCATCAGCCTGATTGGGTCCTTGTATAAGATTCTTGCAAAAGTACTTTCCAATAGGATGAAGACAGTAATGCCTAGAATAATTAGTGTTACACAGTCTGCCTTCATTGGGGGAAGAAATATCCTGGATGGGATATTGATTGCAAATGAGATTGTTGATGGGTGGAAGAAGGACAAAAGGAAGGGGGTAATACTGAAGCTTGATTTTGAAAAAGCATATGATTCAGTAAATTGGGGATTTTTATTCTCAATGCTATCAAACTTTGGGTTTGGGGCTAAATGGGTGAGTTGGATAAAAGAATGTGTAACTTCAGCTTGCATTTCTATTTTGGTGAATGGTTCTCCAACTTCTGAATTTAAACCTCAGAGAGGGCTGAGACAAGGGGACCCGTTATCACCTTTTCTATTTAATATTGTGGCGGAAGGGCTTAATAAGGTGGTTTGTTGGGAGTAGGCGGTGATGAAGATGATTCCGGTAGCCCATATAGGTCCCATTCGAATCATTGATTTTAGTTCTTCGACACGGTGGACAGTGTTTAGCCTCCATAGGTTGGGTGATTTTAGGTCGTCTTCTTCGGTCACAGTGGTTGCCTTGTCCAAAAATCTGCATACCAATATAGGAAGAGAAAGGGTTAATTTTTCAGCTTGTAGGTCTATACTATACTAAATTTAAAATTTACACTCTGCATTTGAATTTTGAACCATTTTTTTAATATTTTTATAGGCACATAGCATTTCTAAAAAAAATTGTTCAAGTTTTTGTTGAAAGAGTTCAAGAAGGTGCAAACTCTAGTATACTGTGGATTGGAAGGTTCATTTTGGGCTCTTAAGACTTAGACGGATTTCATTATGACATTATGATAATCTGAATTATTTATCTTATAGATTCTTGTGTAGTTCATATACAAAAAGGTTAAATTGATAATCGTTATCACATAATTTTATCATATCTATTAAAATAAATAAATAGAAATCTTACTTTTCAAATCATATTTATCATCTATCTTTTGAGACAAATAAAATAAAATTATATGATTATGATTATAAAATCAATTCGAATTTTTTTATAAATGATATACATATATGTATATATGTATATATATATAAATGATACATGACCTACAAAATATACCACTAAAATTATAAAAAATGTACCTATATGTTCAAACCTAGAGACCCAAATTTGACATTCCAATCAACTATATAGACAGAAGAGAATCTCCCATTTAAAGAAAACAAAAATCCTAACTGAGGTTCAGAATGTAGAAATATCGATCTATGGTACTTTAAAAAAATCAAATATAAAAAGTTTTTTAAATAAAAAAAAGTTTATAAATGAAATTGAGAGAAAAAACTAAAACCAGGATAATGTAATCCAATCTTCAACAGATGTTGGTAGTTTGTGGATGAGTGAATGTACAATCAGCTCTCCCTCATGGTGCTTCTCATGAGTTCGCCAATAAATTTATTTTATTCACATGTAGAGGACAAAAAAAAAACAAAAAAAAAAAAAAAAAAAAAAAAAAAACAAAGAAGCTACGTACACGTGTCATGTCATCAAATTTTCTCTAATTAAATTTTTTGTTATCAATAAAATATATAAATCACTAGAAAATATTGAGAAAAGGGCATCAAATTAATGGGAAAGTAATGCGTGTTAGGCTTTGGCATAGTATGATTATGAATAAAATTATCAAAATGTGATATGTGTTTAATTTTAGTGACTCAAAATAAACAATTAAAATTATCAAAATGTGATATATGCAGAATGTTGTCAGCTTAACAATTAAATAGAATTTTGGAAAGAGTTTTGGAAAGAGTTTGGTTACAAATTTTAAAAAGAGTTTTTGAATTGAGTTTTGATTTATGTGTTTAGTTATGAGTTTTGAAAATAATTTTTTAATTGAGTTTTGCGTTATGTATTTGGTTATAATTTGAGTGTAGAATTATATTTTGAGTTTAAAATATTAAATAAAATAAAATATTTAAATTAAAAAAATTATATATTTAAAATAAAAAATTAAAATTTTCTTAAACATTTTTTAATATTTTGAAAAAACAAATCCAAAAAATTTTAAAATACAACTTAAAACTCAAAATTCAAAACACAACTCAAAACTCTTTTCAAAATTCAAAAACTTAAAACTCTTTTCAAAACTTATAACTAAATAAATTTTATTCTTTTCAAAACTCAACTGACAATTCCACACTTAAATTACAATTTCACATTCAAATCATAATTCTAAAATTAAACCAAACTTAAGTTTTTTTTGTCTGTTCGAGTCATACGATTGGGAGTGTTAACCTTTGATCATGTGGATTGGTGTGATCTGATTAGATTGAATTTTATAGTGAAAATTCAACTACAAGATGATGTAGGGATGATCAGATAGGACATAATATGAGAATAGAAACAATCTCAATTTGTATGTTTGGTTTGCTAAATTTTGGATGACTATGGGTTGGTTTGGGGTACACTATATAATCCATCTTTTTATTTTTTTATCTTTTTTTCATCATATCACCTCTCTACTTTTCTGCACATCTTTTTACTTTTTTCGTAAAAAGATAAAAAGTATACTTTTTTAGGACACCCCAAATCAACCCATATGAAGTCAGCTTAATCAGAGCTTTTTCCAGCCTGGGCTGCTGATATTTTCAAAATGACATGTTTCTCTTCCAGTGGTTTGTGGGTATGACCTAATGAAGGACTAGAAGACGCAACTTTTCGTTGGTTAGCATAAAAGCAACTTTGAGGAAAGAGAAATTATTCATTACCCAAACACAAGAAATAGAGACAATTATATGTATAATAATGAATTTTTTAGTTATTTGTTAAGAAATTTAAAATATTTATACATCAGTTTCTACTACAACATATAAGAGTTTTAGAGACTAAATTTTTTGTTCTCTAAAAGTGAAAATTTTGTTACAAAAGTCATTTAGAGATCAATTTTTATCATCGTGAAGATAGTCGCTAAAAGGTCGTATCCAAAAGTAAAAAATTAGGTTTTTAGCAACAAAATTTAAAAAATGTCATTAATAGATTGACTTTTAATAACAAAATAATTTAGTCTCAAAATTGTTTATTTTTTAAGATAAAAAATTTGATCCTAAAAGGATAATAATTCATCATTAATATTCAATTTTCGTTGTTAAAAATATAATAATGACATTTTTTGCAAAAAAAATTTGGTCCTTAAAAATTAATTTTGTCTCTAAATTTTGGTCTATAAAATTTTAATTTTTTGTTCATAGTGTGTTTAATAAAGAAATATATAATTAATTTAAATTTTGTTAACAAATACTTTTGCTATGTTTGATTGGGAGTTTAGAGAGAGGAATTAGACCTTTTTTGAGAATATGAAAAAAAAAAAAAAAAATCAACTTATTAGCTTATTGATTTATTTGAATCATATTACCTTTTTATTTTTTTTATACGTTTAAAAAAAATAAAAAAAAAATCAATAAATTGAAGTTTTTCGTACTTCTCAAAACAAACCTTAGATTAGTAATCTATATGGATTCTAAACTGTGTTTTTGTTTAAAAAAAAAACATGACATGCGATTAACAATCTCATGGACTATCAATCCTCACCCCCCGTGGTGGGATTGCTAATCCCAACCTATGGATTGGTGGACAATTTTGCCTCACTTACTTCTTCTTTTCTTTTCTTTTATTTTCTTTTCTTCTCTCTTTTTTTTTAATATAATTTTGTAAATTCAATTAGTACGTAAATAAATGTATTTTGTCTTATATTTTTAATTTAACACCATTATACTGATAATCTTATTACTCAATTTCATGATACTTATAATTATATCTAACATAATCTGTTAAACAAACATGTCCATTAAGACATTAATTAATCAGATTCTATAATAATTACATGAATAACTAATTACAAAATTAATAAAAAAAATATTTGTAAAATACTATATTTGGATCAACTCTTTGTAGTACAATCATCTTTTGATTATTGAGTCAATCTCATCTCATCATCTGTTGTATGTATCTATTGTCATTTTCATGATTAATTCTATGATTACTTTTGTATCCTTATAATTATTATATATATGGGCCCACATGCATGCATGAGAAGATTATGTGTGGTTGGCATGGTCCACTTACAATAACCCTATGGCATGTTACATGTGCAAGGTCACAAGTATATATGTTTATGCTTGTGCAAATGATTTATTCATAAAGAGAAGTCTAACAACTCGGAATTTTATATCATAATATAAATGAAGAGTTTGATATTCAAATAATATATTGTGAGATTCATATGTAGATTAATTTTGAGTTATATACTTCAATTTTAGATAAATTATACTTTGACATTTTTGTCATTTTGATTTTTGAAATTTTAACAGACCCGATTTTAATTATAAATTTATGATTTTGTTTTAATTGATTATTTAATTTTTTGATACAAAATGCTCACATAAGTGACATATGTCATGGTTTTATATACAAAATTATAAATTTGTTCAACTTACTAAGTTAATTTCAACTAACTCAGTGACATTTTTTCTTCGAAAACTCTAATCCGTATTATTAATTGGATTAAATTAACAAAATATCAAAAAATTAAGGGTTAAAATTAAATTAATTAAAATGACAAAGACTAAAATAATACAATAGACAAAATACAGAGACTATCAATATAATTTACATTTATATTTTGAATCAAACTTTAAACATAAATTATAGATATATACAGTGGCGTAGCCATGAATTCAGTGGAGAGGGGCACAAATTAATGACAACATTAACTTTTTTTTTTATAATAAACAACAATGAGATATTACTAAACTTAAATATTAAGAGTTCATTTGGATAAATGTGAATTTTAAATTAAAGGAATTGAGATTAAATTTTATACAAATATTGGGGAATAACTATTTTATAAGTGGATTGGAAATTTAAAAAAGAAGATAAGTTGAGATAGAAATGATATATTTTAGTAGAGAAATTTTATAAAACATACTACAATAAAAGTGTCTATCATATGTCGCAATTATGATATTTGTGGTTTTTAGTTATAACACATTATAATGTTAGATAAAATTTAGTTATAACTTTTTGTGGTTTGTTATTTTGGTTATGACTATATATCAAGTAATAGTTAGTTATGACTCATTCTGATATTAATTTATTGTAATTTTCTTTTTGTTTTTTTTGTTTTTTATAATTGAAGATATGTTGCTTGATTATAATTTATATAGTGGTCATTTTAATTATGAATGGAAAGAAACACATGGAGGATAAACTCCACATGTCAAATGTAACTAACAATCTAATAAATTTCATATCTTCATTGAAATTAATTATGTTTGCATGTCAATAGTGATAGACATTACCATTACATTAAAATTTTCATAAATACTAATATGACTTATCATAATCTCTTTATTTTCAATCAAAATAATCATTATTATTCTCATAATTTTAAAATGTCATTGACATTTTACTTTAAATAATATTTTTTAAAAAAAAATTATTTAAAATATTTTCTTTATGTTTAAAAAAAAATTCCCAAAACCGGGGGCCTATGATGCCTCCACCATTGGATATATAGGGAGTGTTTGGGAAGCAATTTTTTTAATTTTTTTGGTTGAAATAGCACTAAAGAAAAAATAGACTAAAATAGTTAATAAGACAAAATGTCACATCAAATCTATAATCATTTCACTTTTTATCTCACAAACATCACATCCAACTATAAAAAAAATTTAACTATCTTCTCAAACATAAAAATTTTAACCTTCTAAAATAACTAAAAATTAAAATAACCTATTAAAATAACAACTTTTCAAACACCAAATAGTGTCTTTATTAATGAGAAGACTGATTGGGTTTGATGATAATGATATATTAAAACCACAATTGGAGTGGTCTCCGTTTACACTTGTCTGATGTTTCTGTTCCAACGTGATAATGAAAAGGATAACTTTGAAATTATTCAAAATTAATGAAAGTGTAATATTTTCTAAAATTTACATCTAAGATTTTTTATTTCCTCTTTTGGATTACACGTGGGTTTTCTTTGTTTTTGTTTTCAACTTGTCACACGAAAACAAAAAATTTTAAACCACACAATAGAAAAGATGACTTTATGCGCCGAAAGTAACAATTTTTTTTTTTTTTTTGGAGTAAGAGTATGAGGTTGTAATTATGAGTTTTGTGAGTGAATTTATCATTGCTTTGGGAGTTTCGAACATTTTACTTAATTTATTATGTAATATATATAGATACACATGATTTTTTTAAGGACCAAAAATTATAACTGACACTACAAGAAAAAGTATCTTTGACGACTAAATTTTTAATCGTCAAAAGTCTTTTTTTAGTCACCAAAAGTCGACTTTTCACTTTCTCCGACTAAATATTTTAGTCGCCGGTTTTGTCGTGAATACATGGTCGCCGGAGGTATTGGCGACTAAAAATGTTTTAGTCGGCAAAAAACAGGCCTTCAGCGACCAAAGCTTTTGTCGCCAATAGTCAATTGCATATTTGAAAATTATACATTTAGCGACTAATCTTTTAGTCGCCAATAGTGAATTATTTTTTTTTATTTATACATTTGCAGACTAAGTTTTTCGTCGCCAATAGTCAATCTTTTGGCGACAACACATTTTAGTCGCCAAAAGCATATTTCAGGAAAAAAAAAAAAAATTACCCTCTGCTGTTACCAAGTTTCAAACCACCAACCTTCCACATTCTAAACCTTTAGCAACACACTCCCCCCACTATGCCAGTACACCATCACATAAATATAAATGCAACATATATTAGTTATATAGTGTATTGACCGGTATTAATACAAAACTATATATATAAAAATAATTATTTTTATTTAATATAATTTATGTAAAAAATAAATTATTTACTAAAAACAAATTGAGGCCACTTTTGGCGACTAAAACTAAATCCATTATTTAGTCGCCAATTCTATAATTTTGGGCTATTAATTATTTTTTAGTCGCTAAAAAAATAAGTTCCGCCTAAAAATAACCAGTTTTGGCGACTAAACCTGTTTTTAGTCGCCAAAAACATCCCCTTTTGGCTACTAAACTGAATTTTAGTCGCCAATTGCCTATTTTTAGCTACTAAATTTTTTTTAGTAGCCAAAAAGCTTCACTTTCAGTGACCAAACTGTTTTTAGCCGCCAAAACACGTATAATCGGTGACCAAACTGTTTTTTAGTCGCTAAAACCGTCACTTTTGGCTACTAAAAAACCTTTAGTCACTAAAACCCATATAATCAGCGACTAAATTGATTTTTAGTCGTCAATAACTATACATTTGGCTACTAAATTGTTTTAGTCACCAAAAGTCTTCACTTTTAGCTACTAATTCCATTTTTGTCGCCGAAAGTGCTACTTTTAGCGACGAAAATTTTTTTTTAGTCGCCATTTGTATTTTTTGTTGTAGTGTGACCAATATTGTTATTCAGTTATTTAATATAAAATCTTATGAATAAATTTTAAATATGCAAAATTATTCGTAAATTATGCATATTAGTAAAGTCATAATATTTTGCTTTCTGTGAAAGTTGAATATAAGATAATCGGCAAGAGAAAAGTTAAAAACTCACAAAATACGAAAGTATCAAAAAATTTATCAAAAAAATTGATGTGGAGTCCAGATTAGCTCCTAAAGTGAATCTGTACAATACAATATATTGTAGATATTTTCTTAGGAATTATATAGTGCATATCTATATTGAAGATGCTCTTTCCACAATTTTTAAAGTCTGTTCGGAAAGTGATTTTTTTCAAAAAAAAAATGATTAAAATATGAGATGAGAAAAATTAATATGTTTAGAAATTTTTTTTCATTTTTTTAAATAAAAAATGTACAAAAAATAATGTGAATGAGATGAATTTTTCACTTTATAGAGTGAATTGGAATTTTTTAAATTTTTTTAATGAATTAAATTTATTTTTATTTTTTAATTTTTTTTCTTCAATGTTTGCCTAAAAAAATACTTGCCAATAGAGTTGCAAGTCAATAGAACTGTTCATGAACAGGCTCAAGCTCAGCTCAGTAAGAGCTTGTTCGAGCTCAGTTTATTAAATTTTTATTGAATTCGAGCTCAAGTTCGTTAAAATATTAATAAACAAGTTTAAACATACTAAAACTCGGTTTGTTAGCTAGCTCATTTAACATTTTTTTAAATAATAGAATAAATATATTATTTATATATTAAATAATATAAAAATATGTATAAAAAGTAAGATAAATATGTTATTTATATATTTCAATAATATAAATGTAAATAATATCTAAATTTATTTATATGTAAATCATAGCTAACTATACATAATATATTATATAATATTAGCGGTAGATATTATTATTTTGGTAAGATATTGATTTTTTTTTAGTATGTTTATATATATTATATATATTATTGTACAATCAAAGTTTCTATTGTAACTTTAGTCTTACAGGTAAGTATGAATTTATATTTTTTTTAGTTCGTTAAGGCTCGTGAACATGCTCAAATTCGAGTCAAACCTAAGTCAATTTGGCTCGAGCTCGGTTTGTTAAATTTTTAGTGAGTTCGAACATGTTAAAGTTTTAATAAACAAGCTCAAACATACTAAAACTTAACTCAATTCAGCTCTTTCGCAGTGTATGGGTTAAGCTCAATCCGGGTTTGTCCTAGACATCGAATCTAGAATGACCATGTGCCATAAATAAATACGAAGTCTAATCTTTTTTTTTTTCTTTTCTTTTTAATCAATTTTTTTTTTGTTTTTTTTTTTTTTGAACTTCTTCTTTTTAATCAATTGTTCTTACAATTATGTCTAACACTAAGAAATTATAATAAAAAGGAGAGAGACTTACTTCATCTGTTTAGTATGTAGAAGCTTTCCTGCCAAAGAAATAGAAGCATCAAGTTGATCATTCTCATAGAGCAATTTGGGATCAGAAACCCTAGCCAAATTTCTCTTCTTAAAAGCAGCCACACAAACTTGTACCAATCGGGTAAACGGGCTACCGGATGGGTCCAGGTTCCGATACATCGGGTACCCGAAAACAAAGGTGATGATAGAAAGAAACATGGCTATGGTGGGAATTCCAAGTCCCCAACCCCACCCAACATTGTCTTGAATATAGACAATCACTGTGACAGCAACAAGCATTGAAGCCCCATTACAAAAATAGTACCAATTGAAGAAGGTCCATGTTTGGACCTTTTGTTTAGGATCCGTTTCGTCGAATTGGTCCGCCCCAAATGCCACAATACAGGGTCGGTACCCACCTGCCCCTAAAGCACATAGGAAGAGTGTTCCATAGAGGATTGCCAGCTGTCCACCATTGGCTTCTTGGCAGAGTGATTGATTATTATGATGATGATCACCTTTACATGGGGGAGGTCTTAATTGTGGTAGTACTGCTGATATTGTCAAGCCAGTCAGCCCCTAATTTTAAAAAAAAAAATTACAAGAAAGTAAGTTTTTAATTAAATTAAAATGTTGAATTCGAGTTTTATTATTATGCAATGTAATTTTTTCTTTTTTAACATTTTTTTTTTCTTACTACCAATTCCATTTGGTTGAAGTTGAGGAAAAATTTAACTTCTAACTAAACTTTCGGTTTTGTGAGAAGCTGAAACTTACATCATGCCATGATTTGGCTTTTGTAGGTTTAGTGTAAATGAAGGATTCACATGAGATTTTAAAATTTTTTACAGCAACTTGTAAAATTTTACATTGAAAATAAAATTTTACATTGAAAAAAAATTGAAAAAAAAAATGATAATTACTCTATAAATGGCCCACTCTATAACTTTTATTATAAAACGTAAATTATTAGTTATTTAAATTTAAAATTCAAAGAATTAAATATAAAAATATTAAAATATAACATTTCAATCAATTTAATTTATGTTAGTGTAATTTTTGAAAAAATAAAATAAAGACCGATAGTATATTATGCAAAATAAATTAAAAAATAATTTTAATTAATCTTAAGTGGTCAATTCAGTTTGGTTAGTATTCAATTTCTCTTTCACTCCCAAATTGTATTAAATTAAGGGAAACTACATGCAGGGATGACTTGAAAAAAAAAAAAAACAATTACCAATATATTATTTACACCCAATTACAAATAGGCTTACACCTCATATATTTGGTGGAAGATGGTTACCAGTGATGGAAGGGACTAGTAAAGAATCTAATGTTTGGAGTGATATTCTGAGTGTGTCAAGGACTAACGCTGAGCTATTTGATTTTTTTAAGTCTAATTGCAAGCTTGTGATTGGAAATGGGTGTAGGATTGACTTTTGGCATGATAAGTGGCTGTTGAATGTACAATTAAAGGTAGAGTTCCCAAGGTTGTTTAGACTATCTATGGAAAAAGAGGTGAATCTAAACTCTTTCAGAGGAGGGATATCTTAGGAAATTGGAGGTTATTGTTTACAAGACCACTTTTTGCTTGGGTGGAAGAGGAGGTTCAAAGGCTACAAGTCTTGACTTGAGATGCTCCCAGACTTAATGAGGAGTTGCCAGATTCAGTCAGGTGGACTGCGTCTCTTGCAGGTCAGTTCATTGTGACATCTATGAGAAAATAGTATTAGTTGGTTCAAGGCCCAAAATCGCAGGTTCCTAAACTGATATGGAGAGGTGTGGCTCCACCAAAAGCTAAATTTTTGAACTGGTTGGCACGGATGGAGAGGGTTAAAACAATTAGTCTTTTACAGACATTTGGGGCCTTAAGTAGCAATGTGGAGAATCTGTGCCCGTTCTGTAAGCTGGAAACAGAGTCAGTGGATCATATTCTATTGCAGTGCTCGGGGATTTGGAAGGTTTGGTCATCTATGCTACAATGGTGGGGAGTATCTTGGGTCATTCCTGCTACAGTTGATGGTGTGTTGTTATGGTGGCTTGGAACAAAATTTAAGAAGTCAGTTATGAGGATTTGGAGGCTTGTTCCAATTGCAATGTTGTGGTCAGTATAGAGGTTAAGAAATGATTGTGTCTTTAAAGGGAGCCAGCCTAATATGGATGAGCTTAGTGAAATTGTGAAATTAAGGGTTGGGCTGTGGGCCAAGTCTGGGCTGCCAGAGATTCATTATATAGTGCATGATGTTGTGGCTAATCTGAATCAGGTGAGATGTTGTTTACAGGTAAAGGAGTTTGCTGGGGTGTGCTTCTGCTCATGAGTTTGGTGCTGCTGTTATGTCTTTTTTTGCTGCTATAGTCTTGTTCTGCTCATGAGATGTTGTTTATAGGTAGAAGAGTTTGGTGCTGCTGTTATGCTTATGTTGCTGCTATGGTCTTGTTCTGCTGGGTGTATTACTATAATGTCTTTTTTTCTTTTCTTTTTTGGGTGCTTTTGATTGGTTCCTCACCAATATTGGGCGAAGTGTTAACAGATGATTGTACTTTTTTTGTGGTGCCAACCTAATTGGGATTGCAGATGTTAGCTATGATGTTTTTTGCATTTCTCTACTTTGTTGATGATTGTTTTGCATGTATTGTGCCCTTTTAATCAATAATGTCTTTGTTTGCTGATCAAAAAAAAAATATTTGTAATTTTTTTTTTTTCCAATTCTTCCTGCATATAATTTTTCCTTAAATTAACAACGAAGTGCAATAAAATGGCAACGAAGTCCAATAAAATGGAAATAACATACATTTGCTTTGACGTAAGCTTGACAATTTTTTTTTTTTTTTGTTTTTTACTACCATGTTTGGAAGATATGAGATATTAATAAGATTTTATACGGTGCATATCTAAACCGACGAAATCATGTTACTTGATTTTTATTCCATCAAATTCAATGTATTAATTATATATTTTTTTAATTTTCGTATCTCTATATCTCATATAATTATATGATTAAGATTACATTAGGACAGATAAACAAAAGCATTTAAAGAGAAAAGATCCCTAGCCTAAATCAAAATGTATATGGTACAAACCAAACAAATTTATGTTATTTGTATTATTTCTCTAATCAAATCAAACCAAATTAAACTGTAAATCTTATCACATGGAATCGATTACATGAATATATTTTTTTCACTCGACTCTATCAACGGCCTTTTAACATTAGTCAACTTTGTAATTAATCTCTCTAAAGAAAATGATATACATGTACACTTCGTAAATCCATTTTTTAAAATTTAATGTTGTGTACATAATATAATTGATTAATGATTACGAAAGATATAAAAATATTATTTCAAATATATAATTGATTGTCACATCATTAAAATTCAAAAATAAATATAATTTTTCAACTTAAATAATAATAATCTTTATCCAATCTAGTGTGCCCCTATGAGACAAGATCACCAAAAGTTTCATATAATTATTAGGAAATTCCATTCAAAGTTTTACATGAGGTAAGCAATTCTACGTCGGTTCAAAGGTAGGTCTCATCAATAAATAAAATTTTATAATTCTAATTTTGAGTCCAATTTTTTTTAATAATTTTTTTCTTGTATGTTTTAAGAGCAATACTATAAATTCAAATTATTCAAAAAAAAATAAAAAAATTAATGAGTTAGATTCATTGTGAATTTATTTTACATCTCACTAATTTTAAATTTACACTGCACAAATAATTTTTAAGATGAAATTTAAAATAAATTTTCATGTTTCGTAATATTTTGACTTTTAATTATCCAAATCAAAATTTAAAAACTTGAGAGAGAGAGAGAGAGAGAGAGAGAGAGAGAGAGAGAGAATTAACCATCTGATAAAGAATGGAAGCAACAGTGATGGTCCAGAAGCGGCCAACATAGGCGTCGGAGATGAAGGCGCCGAGGAGAGGAGTCAAGCTTGAAGTTCCGCTGTAGTTTGTGTTTGTGTTGGCTGCCTTTGTTAATGGCATATGAAGCTCTTGTGTTAAATAACTCAACATATTGGTGCCAAATCCCACCACAGCCAACTTCTCACATACCTCATTCGCTGCACAAAATCCACCACTCAAAACATAAAACACAAATACAAACACAAAACCCCCAAATCTCAAAACAATCACTTGGAGCACTCCAAGTTCAGAGGCCACCCTATGTCTATGAACTGAGTAAGCCAGAGGAGATTTGAACCCTTATTTGGACTTTTAATACTGTCATTTTTAATATATCGGCTGATACTGTTTTACAATATCATTCATACTGTTACTTAAAACCATGATATTCACTTACCGATTTGATGGCCCTTGATGGGTGTAGCAATATCATGATTTTAAATAATTAAATCAATGATACAATCATATATGAGTCGATATTAGTAGATATATTGATGAATAAAGATATTGAAAGTTCAAAATGTAACAACCAGTAGTAGTAGAAAAAGAGGAAGAGGGCATTTATTATTAAAACAACAAAAACTTACCAAAAATGAAGGGCATAGTGATCATCCCACCCTTTGGTCTTTGGACTTGGGAATCTTTTCTCTCCCTTATTTCCATCTTCTTAGCAACTCTTTTTAGTGCTCTAAATGGTCACTCAAACTCCAATATTTATAGGCTCCATGAAGATTTTAGAATAGTAATTAATGCTCTTGTAATTTGTAATTTTTCTTAAAGAAGTAAAATTCACTGACAAATTCATGGCCACAAGTGTAGTAGTAGGCACATGATGTGCATAAGTGATGTTGAAGATACACCACCAGCTAGCTTAGCTGCTAGCTCCACTAGCTTAGGTTGCAGTCGCAGCTCCAAGCTACAGCTTCTATCACAGCTTCTACCTCAGCTATCAGCTTAGATATTTTGAAAAGATATTTTGCAGAATTAGTTAGGAGTTAGTTGTAGTGGTTTTTAGTTTGTTAGAGTCATTAAATTGTATGTAAGTATAAGTGATGTATGTACTTTAGATTCATTGAGAATGAAAGAGATTTGATTGCAAACTTCTTTATGGTATCAGAGCTATAGAAGCTCTATCGAGCAACTGATCAATGGCAACATCACTCTCTTCTTCTCTTCCTTCGAATCTGACTTTACTGATCTCTAATCTGTTATCCTTTGTTATGGTCAAGCTTGATGGAACAAATTTCATCATCTGGCAATCTCAACTCTCGAATGTTCTTCGAGCCACCAATCTTCTTGGTTATGTTGATGGCTAAATCACATGTCCTTCATCTACAATCATTGATTCAACAGGGAGTTCAGTGCCTAATCTCGAATTTCTTCAATGGACTATGATTGATGCACATCTGTTAAGTTGCATCACTGCAACTCTTACACCATCGATCTATGTATCTGTTCTGTAATTTCATCACTGTTCAAAGGTATGGACATCTCTGCAAAAGCGATCTATGACTTTATCTCGTTCGTATGTTCGTCAATTAAAAAATAAACTGAATAGTGTTGCTAAGAAATTAGATACAATGGAAGAATATCTGTCCAAAATCAAGGTCATAGTTAGTCAGTTAGCTTTGGCCTTTATTATCATTGATGATGAGGATCTGGTCCTCATTACTCTGAATGGTCTTCCTTTAGAGTATGATGCTTTTTCCACCACAATTTGTGCTCGACCAGAGGTTATTACTATGGATAATCTCTCCTCCTTACCATGTTCTGAGGCTCTTCATTTAGATTCGAAGAATAAACAATCTGCAGAATCAACTGTAGCTTTTTCTACAATTAAGGGATCTAACAATTCACAAGCTCAGTCTTTTAATCAAACATGTGGTCGATCTTATTTTAGAGAAGGAAGAGGTAGTCGTACTCAAGGATCCTACAGAGGACATGGATATAGAGGATATGGAGGATCTTACAGAGGTTCTGGTGGTGGTAGATTTCAAGGCCAATGATCAAGAGTTTTTAATTAATTTTGTCAGATTTGTGGAGGTTCTAGTCATTCTGCCTTAGACTGTTGGCATCGGCAACTTCAGTTCACAGTTACCATCAAGAGCTTTTGTTACTGCTTCCAATGTTTCTATGTCTTCATCTTCATCATCTGCACCAAGTCCATGGTTCTTGGATTCTGCAGCTACAGATCATATGACCAACGATCTTAGCCAACTAAATTGTTATCAGCCCTATCAAGGATCAGATTAGATTACTATAGGAGATGGTAACTCTATTTCTATACAACATACTGGTAAAGGTCTTCTTCCCACTCCTCATCATCTTTTTAAGCTTAACAAAGTGCTTCATACAGTTTCTTTATCATCTAATCTGGTCTCTGTTCACAAATTGGCTCAAGATAACAATTGCATTATTAGTTTTGATGATACTCATTTTGTGATTCAAGACAAGGTTACGAAGAGAATTCTTCACAAAGGCTCTAATCTGCTTGGCTTGTACCATTTCTTTTCCACTGCTGCCTCACCTGCTCTTACTCCTCATTCTGCAGCCACATACACCAGTTTACCTGCTCTCACTCCTCATTCTGCAGCAACACACACCAGTTTCACATCTCAAGTGCATTCTAGTTCTTCTGCTGTTAGTACTATATGGCATAATAAGTTAGGTCATCCTAGTAGTTTGAAATTCAAGCATCTTAGGCCTCATTTGCATCTTAAAAATCCTGCTTCTGTTCAGGTTCATGAATGTGTTAATTGTTGTGTTGCCAAGAGTCACAGATTACTTTTTTCATTTTCTAATTCCACTATTAATAAACCTCTTGCTTTAATACACAGTGATGTTTGGGGCCCATTTTCTTCCACTTCTGGTTACAAATACTATGTTCTCTTTGTGGATGATTTTAGTAGATTCACATGGTTGTATCCATTAGCTTACAAGAGTGAAGTATATGATAAGTTTCTTGAATTCAAAGCTTATGCAGAAAAACAATTTTCTACATCCCTTCAAATTCTTAGAACTGATGGTGGCACAGAGTTTTTTAATAATAAAATGAAGCAATTTACTGTGTCTGAAGGTATTGTTCATCAACACTCATGTCTCTATACACCATCTCAGAATGGTGTGGCTGAAAGGAAGCACAGACACCTCACTGAAGTTGCAATTACTTTACTTCACCACTCACTTGTTCCTCTCCATTACTGGTTTGATGCCATTGCTTGTGCCACTTATCTTATAAATAGACTGCCTTCTTCCAAATTGGCCTACTAAACTCTTTTTGAAACTCTCTTTCAAAGCAACCCAGATTTTTCTATTCTTCAAGTGTTTGGTTGTCAGTGTTTCCCTTGGCTTAAACCTTACATTTCTACCAAATTGCAACCTAAATCTATTGAGTGTGTTTTCTTAGACTATCATCCTTTTGCTAAAGGTTACAGGTGTCTTGATTCCAAAACTGGCACCATTTACCTTTCTAGACATGTGTTGTTCAATGAACAAGTTTTTCCTTTTGCTCACTTGTCTTCTTCTTCTTCTTCCTTTTTTTTTTTTCTTCCTCTCAGTTACCTTCTCTTCAGTCCTTTTTCTGGGCCTCTCCTTCTCCATCTTCTTCTTTTATTAAACAACATTCTTCTTCTTTCAGTACTCCTAATTCTTCTGCTGCTACTCTTAGTCCTTCTTCATCTAAGTCACAGTCTTCTTTACATTTTCTTACTTCTTTTCCTTAGCTTTCGATCCTTATTAACTCTATTTCTATTCAATTACATATACCTGCTCCCTCTTCTTCCATTGCTTCTGTTCCTTCTCTTTCTAACTGCCATCCTATGAGCCTTGTCTACTGTTAAGACACCTGCATCTTCTTCATATACTAATATTGAGCCTCCTACTCATAAGGAAGCCTTACTTACCCCTATTTGGAAACAAGCTATGCTTAAGGAGTTCCAAGCTTTGCAAAACCAACACACCTAGTCTTCGGTTTCTTTTCCTCAAGGCAAGATTGCCATAGGTTGCAAGTGGGTGTTCAAAATTAAAAGCAATTCAAATGGGACAGTGGCTAGGCATAAAGCCAGATTAGTTGCTAAAGGTTATCTCCAATAGGAGGGGATTGATTTTCAAGAAACTTTTAGCCCAGTTGCTAAATTACCAACAATTCGTGTTCTGTTATGTCTTGCTCTTCATCACAATTGGCCTATAAAGCAATTAGATATTTCTAATGCTTTTCTTCATGGGATCTTAGAAGAGGGGGTTTACATGCTGCAACCACTAGGGTTTGAAGATCAATGTCCTAATCAGTCTTCTACTTCTTAGATTGTTTGCAAACTCCATAAGGCCTTGTATGGTCTTAAACAAGCCCCAAGAGCTTGGTACTCCACATTCTTCTCTTTTTTGCTATCTCAAGGATTCAAGAACAGTAAATGTGACTCTTCTCTGTTTATTAAAAAAGTTGGTTTTGTTTTTCTTGCCTTACTTGTTTATGTTGATGATATATTGATCATTGGTAATGATGATACACATATTCAAGCTCTTATTACTTAGATGCATCAAGTTTTTTCTATGAAGGAGCTTGGTTTTATTTCCTATTTTCTTGGCATCTCAGTTACCTCTGGTTCCACCACTGTTCTATCCCAAAAGAAGTATGCTCAAGATATTCTTCTTAAAGCTGGTATGCTGGATTGCAAAGCTTGCTCATCTCCTATCTCTGTCAAGCCTGGTCTGCCTAGACATTCAGATGAGCCCTTTGCCAATCCACCTATGTATAGAAGCATAGTTGAAGCCTTACAATATTTGACAATTACCAGACCTGATATCTCATTTGCTGTGAATCAATTGTATCAACATATGCATAATCCCACTGTTGGTCACTATGCTGCTGTAAAGAGGTTGCTCAGGTTCAACAAGGGCACTATTTCTCATGGTCTTACCTATACCCCCAGCTCATTTGATCTTCATGCTTATTCCGATTCCAATTGGGCTGCAGATTCTGTTGACAGAAAGTCTACCTTAAGGTATTATGTATTTTTAGGATCCAACCTCATTTCTTGGTCATCTAAAAAGCAAGCCACTTTCTCTCAATCCTCTACTGAAATAGAGTACAGATCTTTAGCTCATACAGTAGTAGAGCTTGCTTGGCTTGGTATGTTGCGTCAGGATTTTTCAATTGTTCTTCCTACAGTTCCTCTTCTCTGGTGTGACAATGTGTCTTCTATTGCTCTGGCTTCTAACCCTGTATTTCATTCCAAATCTAAGCATATAGAAGTTGATTGTCATTTTGTTCGAGATCGAGTGCTTGCTAAAAAGCTTGTATTGCATTACATTCCTACCATTGATCAACTGGCAGATATCTTTACTAAACCTTTGTCTATCTCCAGACATTCCTATCTTAAAGATAAGCTCAATGTCAGTTTCTCCCTCCACAGCTTGCAAGGGAATGTTAAAGACACACCACCAGTTAGCTTAGTTGCTAGCTTCACTAGCTTAGGTTGCAGTCGCAGCTCCAAGCTACAGCTTCTACCATAGCTTCAACCTCAACTATTAGCTTAGATATTTTGAAAAGATATTTTATAGAATTAGTTAGGAGTTAGTTGTAGTAGTTGTTAGTTTGTTAGAGTCATTATATTGTATATAAGTAAGTGATGTGTGTACTTTAGATTTGTTGAGAATGAAAGAGATTTGATTACAAACTTCTTTAGAGAGTACAAAATGTTAAAAAAGCTAGGTTCTGTTTATTTGATTTTTTAAAAAATTATTTTTAGATGAATTTTTGTTTATTTTTAATAATTTTTTTAATATTTTATATTTTTTAGATATACTTAATCAAGATACATCTAAAAAGTAAAACAAATTGAGTAATTTTTTTTTAAAAAAAAATTAAGTAAAAAATTTATGAAAATTTGACCAAAAATTGGATTTTTGTTTATTTTTAGTGATTTTTTTCCCTTCATATTTTAGTTATTTTTTTTAATACTTTTGATACATCTAATCTCGATGTATCTATAAAATAAAAAATTTGATTAAAATATAGAAAAAATAAATAAATATCCGTTAAAAAATAATTTCTGAAAACTGTAATCAAAGCCTAATTTTTGTCTAAATCACTTGTATATTATAAAGGAGGATTTAGTCAAAACCCCTTCATAATAAAATTTTAATGCATTAAGGACAAGTACAAAAAAATTTCTTTAAAAAGTCTAATACATACCATTATTATACTAAATGTCTGTTTTTAATAAAGTTAATATTTTTAGAATCTTCTCATCAAGATCTATCAAATAAGATCTAGGGTGAATTACACTAACGGTCCCTATAATTTGGGACTTGTATCACTTTGGTCCATAACTTTTCAATTATGATACATTTGATCTTGAATTTGAATCTTATTCCAAATAAGGACAATTGAAGATACTATTAGATTTTTCAAGGGCAAAATAGTCAATTTGACAAAATAGTCAATTTGACAAAATATACACTAATTTGATAAAAAAATATTTTTAAATTTTTAAAAATTATTTCTACCCACTAAAGATAAAATTATGTAAAATTAGTGTAATTCGCCCTAAGATCTATGTTGACTATGTAAAGTTAGTGTAATTTGCCCTCAGATTTATGTTGACTATGAAATTCTTTAAAAAAAAAAAATTTATTACCGTCGAAATTGATATAAACAGTAACATGTTACTCTGATTCACAGTAATAATAACATGTTATTCTAGTTCACAGTAACATGTTATTCTAGAAATATTTTTCAAAAAAAAAAAAAGAATATTGATTTTGACCTTACTCAATTATGCGCCTCCTCCTTAGAGAATTTATGAAACAAAATAAATTAAACTATCATTTTCACTAAATAAGGATCAAATGAAAAAATCTTGGCCAAATTTTCCTATTATACAGACAGCTAAATTTCGTAATATCCACTTCCAAAAATGTTTAAAAGCTTTAAAATAAGAGTTCTAAAGAAATTTTAATGCGTGAAACTCACCAATTGATGTGATATTTTAAAAAAAAAAATTCCCTTCTTTTTCTTCAATACCACATATATACTTCCATTTAGTGCTTTGTACTTAAAACTCTCAATCTCTGTCCTTTCCCCTTCCGCTTCAGCCTTGTATTGTCTGTTTTGGTGAAGAGAAATATATAATATAACCTCATTTTTTTCAAAATATTTTGTTGTTTTCTAAATTAAAATGTAATAATTAAAAGTAAACATTAAAATTATTCATTTGATAGGATTATTAATGCTTCACTAATAGTGAAGTGAATCAAACATGACCAAAACTCTCAATCTCTGTCCTTTCCCCTTCCGCTTCAGCCTTGTATTGTCTGTTTTGGTGAAGAGAAATATATAATATAACCTTATTTTTTTCAAAATATTTTGTTGTTTTCTAAATTAAAATGTAATAATTAAAAGTAAACATTAAAATTATTCTTCCCTTAGTAATCAATTTTTTTTTAAATCTATTTAAATTATTTTAGTCTCATTATTATTATATAATATAAACAAAAACGTTGGAGGTTCTTGGTGATACAAAATTTCAATACTTTTTTTTTGTTGAATTTTTTGAATTTAAAAAAAAATGATATAAAAGTCCATTTTCTAGACACAATGATGTGTAAGTAATATAATTAGTTGATAATTAGAGAAACTATAAGAAAAAATGTTACCTTTAATATTCTAAAAATTACATTTCGTTTTCGAAGGGCAATACTAAGAAAAATTTCTTCTTAACAAATATTTATTTTAATCGTGCATAGCACCGGTGTATTGCTACTAAATTATAAATAGAAACGATATTGAACATTATGTCACATATTAAAAAAATAATAATAAATAAATAAAAAAGAAAGAAAAAGTTATAAGAAAATAGGAAAAAAAAGTTGCACTAAATAAGTTCGATAGGGTTGACTACTAACCCAGTCGTCTGCCCAAACAAGCCCCATATTTTAAGGGTTAGTGTGAATATTTTGGCGCATATGGCTTGATAGGGTTAATATTTTGAGTCCATTCAATCTTTTAGTGAGTTTGGAATGAGGAACTCTAGCTTGGCCGGGTTTGTCCATTTATAAAATTTCAATTTTAATTTTTATATTAGTTAGTTACAAAATAAATTAAAAAATAAAAATATTATATATATATATATGTGTGTGTGCACGCGCGCGCTCTCTCTATGATTTAAATTCAAATATTTGTTAAAAGGTTCAAATTTCAATTATAATTGAGTTTTGCTGCTCTTTATGATTTAAATTCAAATATTTGTTAAAATGTTCAAATTTCAATTATAATTGAGTTTTGCTAATTGTCCAAATTTAACTAATTATTCATAGGGCTAAATTATTAAAAAGAGCAGCACGGGCCTAAATTTAATAGGGCTAAATTTAACTAATTATTCATAGGGCTAAATTATTAGTAAGATTTTATTTTGACATTAAACGATTCGCAGTAGTTACAATTTATGAGAGAGAGGCCAATTTGGAAGGAACATCAGTAAATCAATTAAAATTTGCAGTTGCTGCTGCGCATGGTGCGCAACTGCAACTTGCACATCTTATTAGGTTATTTTAGGGCCTAATTTAATATTTTAAACTTTTCACATTTTAGAAATTATTGAGTAGAATATATCTGTAAAAAATCACGTCGATTAGATATCGTTATCTCTTTTATCAAATCGCATTTGCATTGAGTTTTATATTTTAAATTACATTTATCATTTCTTTTTTAAAATACAAATGTGATTTGATGAAAGGGTCAACGATATCCAATTGACGTGATTTTTTATTAGTATATTCTACTCGATAACTTCTAAAATATAAACAATTTAGATTATTGAATTAGACCCTGAAATGGACCCAATAAAATATGTAACAATTGCTACTACGCACCATGCGCAGCAGCAACCCCAAACTCTTAAAAAATAAGGTGATGTTATTTTCACTCCAATTCACCAAAAACTCTCCATTTTTTGTGCTTATATAATTTTTTGTTCTTATTATAAAAAGTAAAAGAAATTACAAAAAAAAAAAAAAAAATTGACCTTGTAATCAAATAAACTCTAATTTTTTAATTTTATCAATTTAAACTCTATTTTTTATTATTTATTTTCAATTTAAATCATTCGCATATTTTTGTCAAGTAAAATCAAGAGAAAAATAGTATTTTAACTATTAAACTTAACGTATGTGTACATAAAATATCCAAAGTATTATTTTTTTTCATTGAGTTTAATGACTAAAATATCATTTTTTTTTATCAATTTTACATAATAAAAATAAACAAATGATTTAGATTAAAAACAAAACAAAATATTAGTGTTCAAATTTATAAAATTTAAAAGATCATGATTTATTTTGTTACAAAGACGGAACCTTAAATATTTTGTTTTAAATGTAATTTTTCCTAAAAGGTACCTAGAATGTTGTTAATCAAAAGCATAGTGAGAATAGCACTGAAAAAAACAGAGTTAGACATTGAATGATTAAATTAAGTAAATTAGTGAATCTCCAAATGGCTAATCAGAATCACTCTGCAATAATCTTTCTCAATTTATAAAAGTAAAAGGAAAACAAAAAGAACATGATGAAGGTCATCCAGCTACAGTCTCTGTTTAGATAAGTTTTTCTATGTTTATGGACCATAGTCAAGTGGTTCTCCTTAGTGATGTTTATTGATTGATAGTGAGAATGAAACTTACAACTTTATGTTAGAGGGTTCGAGAGTAAGTAAATAATATGACATTTGGTGATTGGTGTATAGCATGGATAGGGATGATGACGGATAGTGTATAGGTTGAGGCCTCCTATCCCATTCCATCTCTATTTTCGCCGCTTGCCCCTATCCCAATCTGACTCTTATGGAATTATCCACTACCCCAACCCAAATCTGCAAATGTAACCTCTATCCCGACCCTATTTGATTCACAACACAACAAGAAATTTAATAATAATGTAAAAACTCAATAATTAAAATTAAAAAAATATTATTTATAATTAAGAAATATACTAGTATTCATTGTACATATATTAAAATTATATTATGTATATATATAATAGAAACTCAATAATACATTGTATAAATATTATATATTCTTTACAAATTCAACAATATATTATATGCATTATATATATATATATATATATTTAATATTATTATTTATTTATTATTATATTTGCGGGTTGGGTTGGGTAAAAAAATTACTCTCTTCCACAGCCGACTTGAACCCAATTGGATTTTTAAAAAATTTCTCCAAATCCAACCCTACCCTGTTCAACCACTCCTAAGCTCAACCCAGTAGGATCGGAGAGAGTTGAGGGCCTAGCAGATTGGGATATTTTGCCATCCCTAACACAGACCACGTGGTGTTCTATAGACACAAAATAATTTTCGCTTTGTATATGTTGGAAAAATAATGGTTTTTGATAACTTTAATGAAATATTAAAGTGGGTGCTAATCCTCAATTGAGGTGGAGTAAAGTGAGTTTAGATATTTGCAATGAGATCTTTACATCACAAAAAAAATAACCAA